TGTAGAGCACCCTCTCCCGCGGGTTGTAGTCCAGCATGGATATGTGGGAATACTGGTTGTGGAAGGGAATATCCGTGTATTCGTAGCTGGAAGTGTTTGTGTAGTAGGCAAAATAGATCTTGGCGCCGGCAAGGTGGGAGTTGGTGACGTAGAGCGTGCCGCAGATCATGAAGGACTCTCCGGCGCTTCGTTTGGGGTAACCCGTGTCCCAGCTCCGCAGGACCTCCAGCGTCTGGGGGTCCACCCGGCTCACCACGATGTTGCCGGCGTTTTGGTTGGTGGTGTAGACGGCCCACAGCCCACTCTCGTCCACCATGAAGTCGATGTCGGAGAAACCACCCCAAGAATAAGGGAAGGTGTTGTTGTAGCCGGCGCCGGCGAGGCTGCGCTGCACCAGCACGCTGCGGGAGCGAAAGTGGTACTTCACCGCGATGTTGCTCTGGTATTTGTTGTAGTAGAGGGAGCCGTTGAAGACCACGTGGCCGGTGCCGGCCCAGGGATGCGGCAGGAGATGCTGCACGAAGTTCTGTCCCGTCACGAAGTCGTTCAAGGTCCGAAACTCCAAGACCCGGCGGCCCTTGTAGTAACCGTCCATGTACCACACCTGCAGCGGGCTCAGGTTAGGGGTGCCCGGCCGAAACGGGGCCCCCACCCCCCGTCAAGATTGCCTCCCAGGACAGACGGACGTGACCCATGTCCTTGCACAGCGCCCCCAGCACGTGCAGCCATTCAGACTGCCACCACGCGCCGGGACACAAAATGTTTCTGGCTTCCCCCTTTCAACACGTTTTCTGCTCTTTCCGAAGATCAAATGCTTGGCTAATTTTTAATAAGAGGGTGCGCTTCCTTAGAAACACCCAGCGTGATTGAGTTCCCCGCCTGCAGAAACTCCGAGGAAGCTCCTGCCCAGCCTCCCACCGCCGCAGCCCGGTTTCCTTCATCAGCACTTGGCAGAGCTCCGCGGCGGCAGCACGTGCCCCAGGCGCAGCGGAGCGGAGGGTTTGCACCCCGGTGAGGGGGCACCCGGGCGCGGGCACGCCGGGCAGCGGGCAGCCCGGG